TATTGTAAGAAAATACTCATTTGTGAGAAAAGGCCACAAAGCAGCGTTTTCCCTCTTGCTATTTCCCGAATAAGTCTTCCGCACAGGTAATGATGGTCTTGACGGACGCAATATCACCATAAATGCACATGGCATGTGATCTACATATTATTAGGTTGTAAAGAAAGTTCCCGGGCAATTTTGAAAATTTCATTTTCAAACGCATTTTTTCGGCGCTCGGTCGGACTTTGACACCAAGTTTTTTATACTGTTCAGTAGAGGGAAGCCTGAAGTTTTCAATACGGCACCGGATTCTTATCGATGCCAAGACGTGTTTGATCTGCACATCAAGAAGAGAAGTCTTACCAACCACAGAATTTTCACAATTTTTCTTCCTACGACCATTTTTTTGTGCAGTTTGAAGAATTTCGTTTGAATCATGGTCGATCTGATTGAGAAGCCTGTTGACTCGTGACCCGCAGCTGCACTCGAGTTTTGCGATTTACGCTCAGAAAATACGAGCTGTTGAACTTGCACCTGACTGCAACTCTTTTCGTAGCTGGCGTCGCATCTGCGGGGATCGCCACGCCTGGATGATGAGCCCACAAGATGTGCAAGGCATTACCTTTAACAATGTTTACAGTAACCAAAGATTTGGTCCTTTCTGTGCAGAACTAGAAGACTTTAAATTCACTTACTCGAAAAATATGCATTTTTAGGGGCAAAAAATGATCGATTTTTCAAACTTTGTGGGAAAATTTTTTTGCAGATGGTCCCTTGAAAACATGTTGGTCCCCATAACAGCCCCAGAAAACCTCTATATAACTACAGCATTTAAGCTCTCCAGCTTTCATCGTGCCTGAGATAATCCTGCACAAACAGGCCACTTTTCGCGTCGACCTTTCTCCCTTCTGCGCATGCTGGTGGACCGCAATAAGGTGCTGAAAAGCCAGCAAGACAAGTATATGTTGTGGACAATATTGTCTTTGCAATGATGTCTGTAGTTTCAAAAAAATTCAATCTGCTTAAAGTTACGGCGATTTGAAAAAAATTTTTGCAACTGCCCGGGAACTTTCTTTACAACCTAATACGTAACAGCATGAATGGGAAGAAGTCGTTGGTGACTGATAAACATTCGTTCTTATTGTTAATTGCTAGGGTTCTTGCAGAAGTCCAAAATGGCTTCTGATTCCCTTTCTATCCTCCAACCGAGGTCCCTTTGCATTTGTCGAGATTTTTAAAATTTTTGATGGATTCTAGGTACCTAATACGAAAAAATCAACAAGAACTGAATTGAAGCTAAAACTTTAGAGCAGGTTTCAACATAACTGATGCAGGCTTTGCGAAGCTTCTATTTGAAGCGTTATATTTCGGTCAAAGTTGAAACTTCATGATGCCAAAAGTCACAATGACTATGGAGGAAGTCTAGCACGATTCGTTTAGAAGTTCACAAAAGTTCTGTTCCTCCTCACTTCGTCGGCAACAACTTATAGATACTGGTGATGAGCGACACACAGATATCGTTCAATTCAGCTTCATTCCTTTTTCTGACAATCTTCGGTAATTTGAATCTTCGCGACCTTGAAGGTCGATTCCCTGAATTTGAAGTAGCTTTATTTCAAAATCAGAAAGAGCTCTGTAAGCGGCATGCACGCAGTTGTTATATCGTTTTATTCAGATCAAGACTAACTTTTTGGCGAATGCCTTCGTCAGAGCCCATAAGGGCAATCTGTCTGTAACCTATTCGTTCAAGCACTTCTACAGCCGTGCAGACAAGATGTCACGCCTCTTTGATCATCCTCTTTGATCCCCATTTTTGATCATCACTCAGCTGCACCTTTCAAGAAAAACTAATGGGGAGTAAAACAAGGCAGTGTCCGGGCAGAAACTCGACTTTTAAAAAATCAACTTTTCTGGGATTATCCGCAACGCTGAATCCGAAAATCTATATCAGAAAGCACGAAAACGGCGAGAACATGCATTTTCCAAGCCCTTACATTTCGAAATTTGAGGATCCCCGCCAGGCTAAGACGCAGAGTTGCAAAGAGCGCACGGTTTTTAACTGTGGCGGCATACGTACTCTGCCGTCTGGCAGGAATTCAAACAGCTCGGAGGACCCCGCCCCGAGGCGTAAGTTTCCCCACTTTGCAATTGTTTTTCTTGCTTTAGGTCGAACGTTTTATGCTCGCAGTTGCGCGATGTTGTGTCTCAGGGGGGCCAGTCTCACATGGCAGAGAAATCTCAAAACCCCCATCTTGCCCGGACACTGCCTTTAAACATGTTCTTGCAGACCGCTTTTACGTCCAGCAGCAAATAATTGATATATGGGCTGCTGCATGATGAAGGCGGGGTGGAGGAACGAACACCTCAATTGGGCACCGCCTCCGCGGGCCTCTGGTCCCAATACGATGCACAACAGTAGGACGAAAGAACCAATAGCTCGTGGAGGCGACGCCTAATTGAGGCGTTCATTCCTCCGCCCATGAAGGCGCAATATCTTTGAGCGCAAACGCGGTTTTATTAGCCGCAGAACGCATGAGGGTCAGGATTCACAGCGGTGAAGATACACACGCGCCGCGTTAGCGCCCGCTCAACTGACACTGCTTCTGTGCCTCCGTCATGCAGTAGTCTTTATATATGGCGGTAATTCATCACGCGTAATCTCCAAGCACTTCTTATTTTGGTTCATTTTAGCAGAGTAAAGTCAGCTTGATTGAGAACACTATTATCCGTTTGACATCCAAAGTAATAAAGTTTGAAAACCCATTTTTCCGAAGCGACTCAAACTTGACTATTCTATACAGATGATGGCTAGATCAAGTCTTAATTTGCTAACGTAATTTACTCTATATAACTGACGTCTATCTGTTTGTGGAAATTTACATTATAACTATAACTTAACGTAATTCCATGCAAATACAAGTTGTGACGAATTTTGGCATTTATATGGAAGCTTTCAAGTTATGATGTTTCGTGGACATGACTTTCACAAATAAGCAAAGCTATATCGGAAACATGTTTGGATTTTCTAATGTTAATAAAACGAGCTCGGAGCCACCCAATAGCTTGAATCTCTATGAATAAAGCTGAATGTCTGTCTGTATGTCTGTATGTGTGTCTGTATGTCTGTATGTATGTTCCGAATAGAAATATTTACCCTATTTTTAGGAGTATAAGCAGCGGGGTGGTCCTAGCTTACATCGAACAGCCCGAACACATCAAAAAACCTCGCAACCAAAGGATCCTATGCCGTGCTGCGTATTGCCTGAAAGAATCGTCATTGGTGAGAATCTTCCAACCTTTTTTTCCTATCTCCAAATATTCGCACCAAACAAAAAAGTCATCTAATGATATCCCATGATCGACTCTCCATAAATCTTGGCAATTTCAAGATGATTCTTTTTGATTGCTTGAGCTAGGCCAAGATTAATAGCAATTTTTATGTGGCTGATGTTTCGGCTTGCTGTCAGGACTTGAAAGTGAGGAATACTTGAGACATCCCTTCCGAAACGCTCTATCATGGCAGATTAAGCAAAAAGCTGGAAAACTCATAATAGTGCCGAAACGGAACAGCTCATCATACAAACTTTACAGGGCGACCACCACTCACTGCTGGGCGTCAGAGATAGAATGATGAGCCTCAGGTTTGCGGATATAGGGACCAACATAGCTCCAGAAAAAAATTCTGCGAGCTCGTTTGTAGTGGCTATGCGTTCCTCTTTTCTGTTCATCTGAGGACTTCTAGCCGAAGTTCAGCAGCTTCCAAAGTTTTCTCGCGCCACCACTTCAGGTTTTTTGAAGTATTAAGACACAGATCTCGAATTCTGCATATTTATGGTGCAACTTTCGATGAGATAATCTGTCTTTGCTCATTCCATCCAAGTTCCTCGATTCTTAGGTTATTATGCATAGCGCCTGCCTGTTTCGTCGTCAATGTATTCGCCGCCACATAGCTTGCACGTTATAAGATATATTACCTCGAAGCATATGCAGTCTCTTGGCTTGTTAAATGGGCAGTTTTTTTGCAGAGTTGCGTTGTACAAGTTTGATCGTATGCTCGGTCTCGGACCAAGCGCTGCGTGAAATTTGGCGGGGGGGGGGGGGAGGGATTCAAAAAAGTCATACAAAACTCAAGTGACTCAAATAAAGAGACTTAGTCGACAGTCTCCTTATTTGAATCACTTGAGTTTTACAGACGTCTACAAATGCGCAGCTGCGTTCGAATTTGTAGACGACTGTAACTCCTATCATGGAGCAAACACCGCCCCGCTTGGATGACGGGCCCAAAACATGTGCAAGATATTGCCCAAACAATGTTTGCAGTAATCACGAATTTGGCTCATTCCGTGCAGACAAGGAGGACTTCAAAATCTAAGTGCAAGAAATAGCCTGTTTTTGAGCTTCTCCGAAAAATTTCTTTGCAGGAAGTGGCGTACAGTCGCGAATTCCCTGTTCACAGCCCGGTTGATTTCTGTACTGCTACCGGATATGAGCTCTGCAGCGCTCTTCAAGCCTGAGAAAAACATACCTAAACAGGCAGGATTTTCACGACGACCTTTTTTGCCCGCATGCTGGTGGCCCGAACTGAAGTGCTGAGCGTGTAAACAACGTTATTCTTTGCAGCAAGATTTGTAGCTCTCGAGAAAGGGTTTATCTGCTGGAAGTTACGGCCGTTTAAAAAAATTTTTTCGCAAGTGCCCAAGATCTTTCTTTACAACCTATTACTTCCAGAATTCATGTTTTTTTTATTACCGAAAGATGCACCAAGAAGAGAGCGCGAGATATAACGATTTATTACTTCGAATAAGGAAAACAATATGTACATACCCTTAAAATATTGCAATTATTGTGTAACATGACCCGTAAAGTCGTACAAATGCATAGAATATAGTTAAATCGAGATTGTTAGAGTCGTGAGGGTAGAAAGTCGAGAATGAGAAGGACCGATGAAGCTCCTAAGCTCTGGAGTTCCTGAGAAATTCGAGAAAGCATATGGAAGACGCTTCACTTAGATTCAAGTGCTAAACGTCTTCGAAACGTCTTGAGCTGTCAGTTGTCGAGCCACTGATAAAGTCGGGTACTGGCACAACGACCTTTCGAAAACCTGGTCCGAGCAGAGGATTTGTTCGAGCCCACATCGAGGGGATCAGAGTGGCTCTTGAGGACGGTCGCATGAGCACTAGGGCGCAGAGGAGATAGATTAGGACCGAACAGCTGTAAAATAACAGTGAACATAGAGCACTTCGTTGATGACAAAATTATTTTTCGATGCCGTAAAAAGATGTCAAAATTTTTGATCCTACCGCTAAAAGATCCAGATAAAAGCTGTGAATTTTTTTATAGCTCCTTCTCATAAAAAATCAGAATTAGAAGAAAGGCGACCGAACTTTTTTTAATGCTAAAACTTTGTGTTCTATAGCCAGTGAGTCAGGAAGAGTTGACTCAACAGCTGTAGAACTTCCAACCTAGATTTTTTCTCTAGTAATAGAGAATTTTTGAGAAGACCATCGATATCAAGAGATTGTTGAAAAGCATCTAGACGTAAAATTCTCATATATCATCAGATTCTGTCCACGATTTCCCTTCCCGCGAGAGAAAGTAAATATCTTTTACAACTTGGAAAAAATGAACTATTTTTCAATTCTGTTCTGGAAAAATACAGGTAGTAAAAAATCCGGTTTTGATCACTGAGCGCAAAGCTCATGTTTTTCTTACCTGGTCACCAAACATCCAACAAGGAACCATAATACGCTGCTTCGAAAGAGCAGCGAACATCTAACACTGTTACCCGCTGATTGTGATAGCCCTGGAAACACTTTTTAGATAGATTTGGCAAGTGATCTATGGATTTTTTGAACATTACCGTTTCTTGTCGACACATGCTTTGAGTCAATCACAACTCGCGTTGACGTCTTTGCGGCGAAATTTGAAATCACGCATTCATAGACGCCATTGTGTACCATCGAAAAGTGACGTATGAAAAGGGTACCGTTCGGGTAAGGCTGCGCATCCAGTGATGTGTGCGACACTGGTTCGCCATTCTGCAATTGACAATGAATGCTAACCAAATGAATAAACCGAGATAAAAGGCAATGTTTATTTTCAAATCTAAAATTTGCTCACCAACAGCCAAATAACATTTGGGTGCGGTAATGCGCTTGGTATGGGACACCACAGTTGCACTTGTTCTCCGAGTAGTGGGTACTTCGGCTAAACAATGTATTATAAGCTATATTCGTTCGAAAATATCGGGTTTCGTTTCGTATTTCGTCACATATCCAGAATTTTCACGAGATATTCCAGAAATCAAGCACATTTTGAACCGACGTGTCACACACACAAAAAATAGGACGAATTTTATCAAAAGATCTAATGTAAAAACAATTATCGTTACTAATCTCACTGATAATAATTTAACTATGCATTAAATGCACGTTCGGAAGTTAACGATGTTTGCCTGAGCAAACCCGTGTTGAGGTTTTCATTCACATCCAACGACTTCAACTGATAAAAACTGATCTATATCGTACAGTTATTCTTGTCTTCAAAAACTTTTTCCCTATAGACGTCGTCCTCCTAGCTTCTGTAACATCACAGCCCAAAGAATGTATAAGTATATGAATATATGAAGTATACATATATAAGGGATGCGACTTAATGGAGTTACGGTCGAGAACTCCACAATAACCCGTATACAGACTCTTTTTTGCGTTTAGCTTAAATTTCAAAGTTATGCTGTACTGAATAACACTGTTTTTGTGGGAAAATGAACTGCTTATACCTTTTCCTCAGCTTTTTTGGCGATATTTGCACACACACAAACACTAAGGCCCGTAGTAAACCCCCTCTCAGCCCAACTCGGCTGGGGGCGGGCCTACGTTGAACGTAGAGCGCCTCAGTCCGGCATCCGGTGAGCCATCGATCCGGATTCAGATCGCTTTTCAGACCCAAAGATCTCGTGCGTTCTCAAAAACTAATCGCCTTGAGCGGTCTGGTCTAGAGGCTAAGTGAATAGATTTCAACGCGCAAGACCGTGGTTCAAAGTCGGATAGAGCCAAACTTTTGCGCCACCACAGACAATCTTTGATAGCGGCCGTTATCGAGAAAAATCGATGGCGACCGCTATCAGGGCTATCGCCAAGCAAATAAAGGGATAAAACAAATTTACCATATTTTGGCGAGAATATCATGAAAAACGAAAATTTTTGAACATAGAGCAAATAAAAAAAATCAAAAAATCCTTGTTTCAAGCAGTTTTCAAAGGAAAAACGTAATCAAGCTCTGAAAAAAAGAAAAAAATCCAAGAAATCCTGTTTTCTCGTATTTTCGCCGCAATCAGCTGTTCATCGATCCTCTCCTATTTAGGCCGCGGAAGACGTGCAATTTTGGGAGTTTTGTACCGCAAGAATACGTCGGCTAGACTGTCCCGTAAGTTACTCACGAGCAACTTACGGGAAATTTGTCTGTTCCTCCTCTTATGCACACTATCTCTCTCGGGTCACCCTAAAATTCAACCTCGGATAAGTGGCATTCTGGTGAACTGACTGTGACACTTGACCCGACATTCTTCTGACTGTTGAACTGACTATCCTAAAGCACGGGAAGGAGGACGGGATTAGGGTCACCCGAGGAAGTTCTTCTGAATGATTCATCTCAAGTCACCTGAGATGAATGGGGGTTTACTACGGGCCTAAATCAAGCATTTCCAGCACCTAACAAATCAATGTGACAAAAACTTCAAATCTTTTCCAATTACAAATTCCTCTAAAATCAAGGATGGAGTATTGTCTGCACTATAAATAGTTACTGGTACTACTTTCCAAGAACACTCTATGATATTAAAAGTAGAGGATTTTGACTATAAGCAGCAATAATCTTGGAATTCTGATTTTAGTATTTTTCGTAAATTTCGGCTCACCTCCACTCTGATATACCCCTCAGATGGTAGCTCTTCTACATAGGCAACCTTCAATGCAAACACTTCGCCTGACAATCCTGTAGCCGCATGTCGACACCAATAAAGACCTTCGTCTTCTGCAAAAAAATTTTTTCCTTACAAAAAAGGACAGGAAGGGAAGGGGTCCCATACCTCTGCTTATGTTGCTCATGATTAGGAAACCAACTTCTGGTACGGGTTGTTCAGTCGTATAGTTTCGATCCATAAACACAGCATTTGTATCGCTGAAAAAATAAATTCACATTTACGTTACCAGTAACAAAAATCACCGAAAAAACAAAAAATGTGCAGCTAAAAATTTGCTACAACACCGCCCACATTGACTTCAGTAAAAACTTACCTAGATACTTGCCCAACTTCTTGTCCATCCCTATACCATATCGCCTTATTTTTCTCTCCAATGCCAGAAAATACCACTTCACACATAAGAGCTGTGGTGGATCGAATCGGTAACAACATTTCCGTTGGCGTCTTCCTGGGAACCGCTGACAGCACGATACCGTAACCTGCAAGTGTAGACCTGCAGTAAAATTTGACTTTTTCCACTGCCTCTTCAAACTTCATCCTTTTTTGAATCTCATAGCGTTATCAAACCCATCAATCTCTCATCGTCCTCTACTAACTCCACTGCGTTTAAAAGTTACATTAAGATACGATCGAGAGGTGCCCGGACGACTTTTTAACAGTCAACTGGATCGAATTCGACTTCGTTTTTTGCTTTGAACGTGCGTAAACGCTCTCGCTACAGTACCTCATTATATAGCGTATTGTCTGGCGCTGGGCGAGCGTAGGCGACAATTTGGAGCCAGAGCTAGTAAGAAAAAAATCGCTTTTTTGAGGGTAGATCGTAAAAAGCGTACGGTGAAATTACAGTATTGAAATAATATATGGCAATGATTTGTTCTCGATAGGGGTGAATGAAAGGTTGTGTAAAAAAATCAGATCTTCCTGGTGAACGCTTTAAATTTTTGTATAAAGCTGTAAATTTTTCCCGAATGGAGCGAAACGCTCTCCCACTTTCTCAAAAATGGGTTGCGAAATGTTTTAATGGTCCAAAAGTGTTATAAAATTATTTTGATATCAGGGTGAAGCTTGAAAAAATCAGATTTTTCTTAAACGTTTAATTTTTGTCTTTGTACATTTTTTTCCAAATTCACCGAACCTTCAACCCACTTCCTCAATAATGGGTTGCGGGATGTTTTGATGGTCCAGAAATGTTGAAAAATTATGCAAGTAATCTGAACCCATTGTGAATAATCTGAATAAAATTTGAAATTTCTTATAAAGTCTACGTGTGTTACAAAATTATGCAAATTATCTTTTTGTTGTAACTAATTTTGTAATCTTATAAAAAGCCAAATTGGTATTTTGAAGGAAAACTTCAATAGCGCTGCCTCCTAGATTTTTTCCCTCCACTTCCCCCTCCACCCAACTGACTCTTGCTCATTCCTCAATCCACCACCTAATCGCGCACTGTCATCGCGCACTACTACGCAGGATTTGGTCCAGTTAGCAATTATTCAAATAATTATGCAAATTTCCGGTACCCCAATGCGTAACTCGCGCGCGCCTGCGTTTATGCGCATGGCGCACGCGCATCTCAAGCGTAAAATTGCGAATTTGTCAACTTGTCATCAACTGTGTGACGAATCTATTTTGACAGATAGCTAAACGATTACATAAAGGACAAGGACATGTCAATTTCTGCGGACTCAATAAACGAAAAGAAAAATTGTGAAAAAATGTTAAGGGAGAGTTGATCAGACTTATCCTTAGTTGTGTGCAGTCAAGTTACTTATGACGTTCTGTGTTTGCACAACATGCGCGCTATTCTACGACTTATGCGCCTAAAAAATGCTGCTTTTCATTCATCTTCTCTTCGTTTTTTTCGATAAACATAAATAAATACAATCAGGGGAAAATAATCTATCTCACTGGTTTCTTTTATGTATTGCACAACATGCGCGGTATTCTATGACTTCTCCGCCTAAGAACTGATTCAAATTTTATGTTTTTCTTCTCAACATTTTCATGCCTTCCTTTCGTTTTCTTTATCAATAAACATAAATCGATACAAATACGAAGACAGTCGACTTTCCCTTCACACCAGTAGATTTCTCCTGTTTTTTTTCATGTTCACAAAATAACCAGTCGTGAACTGCCGCTAGTATTGTGCAATTACACAATTTCAATAAAAAATGTCTAAATCTTGGAAGAATGCTGCTTAGTGCGTAGGAGACGAGAGAAAGTATTTTGTTCACACTACTACAACTTTTTTGATCTCTGAACTTTCCTGTTTATACAGAAACCTTTGCTCTACCCGAAAATTTGCGCGATCCGTTATCGAAACAAATTACCCTTTAGCCTTCAAATTCACGCATACATGAACTGGTCATGTATGTTGCGTACAGTAATTGGAGTTATTATAGGGACTAGTCATTGGCTGAGGGCAACAGCTAAACGGACAAAGAGCAGACGTTGAAATCTGACTTTGAACCATTCTGAGCTCGAATGAATAGCTTACAACTAGGAGCCTTTTAAATAGTGGTCTTGATGAGGTCAAGTTAGTTGAAATTAGCTTGAAAATTGTTTATTTGTAGGGGAAAAACAAACTTTGTAAGATTGTTAAATAAAGGAAAACTTACCTCCATGGACCAGAGCGATTGTCACCAGCAACGGCAATAGCGGTGGCATAGCGGTATTTCTGCAAAGAAAATATTTTATGTAGCATTTTGAATTCAACAGATTTAAATGGCGAGATAGATCAATAAGTGGTAAAGAATAGAAAGAAATGTGTGAAGAACTGGATGCAACAAATGGGTGAGAAAAAAAAATAAAAAAGAGCACAAAAGACATTTCAAAACGCGTAGAAAGTGTGGAAATTAATTCAATATTTATAAACACTCAGTCATCTTTTTAAGAAAGAAGAGGGAAGTACTAGTGCAAACCCAATGCTATGGCCTTCTCGTGTATGTGCGAAAAGGACCAATTTTTTTTGATTGAAACTGACTACTATGATGCCTGCAACGTGCATGCAGTAGCGATGTTAATTAAGTTTTTCAGTAAGAAAGGTTATCTGCACTTGAATGTTATGATGAGTACAAACTGCAAATAGACGAGGAAGGGTATCACTTTCCAAAAGAGCGGGGAAGGAGCAATAAAGTCTGTCTCAATAATAAAGGGAGATTTGTGCGGAAAGTATTATAGATGCAATAATGTCAAAAAATATAAAAATATTTCCGAAAAATCATGATGTCAGAAGAGTCATTAGCTAAAGGTAATTAATTGTAAAATCAGTTGAGAAAGCTTGGCGAAACGAGTTCAATAATAAAAAATAATGAAAACAAAAAGTTGAAGAGATTATAGTTCATGTTTTTGAGAAGTACAAAAAACCCATTGCTGCACTGTTCCAAAGCACAATTTGATCTCAAAATGGCTAAAATTCAGTCCTGAGCCCTCGGGCAAATATAGCTAGAGAGCATGCTATAACCACATACATAAACTGAAGCTATGGACCTTACGACGACAAATTTCCGTGAGCGGGAAAATTGGGATGAGTTATGATGTCCGGCCCAATGCCAACGACGCATTCCACATGTTCTTCCCATATGTCATCTAGCGTGTCACGCTAACTGGACACTGCACTTTTTCCACTGAAAAAGTTACTCGATGTCAGATCTGGGCGATAGTAGTAAGTTTCGGGGTTAAATGGAGGATTTTGAAGAAATCTGATGTGATGAAACCTCACTTTAAAAAAGTCCATGACGGATACGAAGAAAATATATTTTCTTCACGCCTATACAGCTCATAAGCGCTTTCTCAAAAGAAGAAAATAATTATTTAGACATCACTACGGCCTCATGAAATATGTCTGCCAACAGAAAGATCCAGCTTTCTGACAAACTTGTTGGAGGAAGGAAATTTCGAAATCGAAGCGAGTAGTCATGATCTACATTCGTTTCCACCCTTGGGCTTCTAGAAGTTCATATCTTCTACAAATCATTTGAACAGGTGTCATGCAGAAAATTTAAATCAAAAAGTGTGCTGATTTACCACCTTTTTCGCTGCTGCAATTTATAGTTCAATACACAAGCCACAGAAGTTTTTTGAGTGCGAATAATTGTTTGATTTGGAAAACAATTCTGAGAGAAAGAAAGAGTGAAATAGAGTAGAATAGTTTTTAGAGTGAAATATTAGGTTGTCCCGAAAGTTTTGTCCGTTTTTTCAACCTATCATAAAAACACCTAGAACAAAGATAGGGAAACGCTCTAACGCTCTAACCCGACGCATCTTTTCCTCCTCTTTCCAACTGTCATGCTCCCATGCCGATTACTCTTTTGCTCACTGAGATAAAAGCCGAAATTTCGAACCCATGGTTTTTACTGTGTCCAAGTTTGGCAATTTTTCACAATCTTCATTTTTGACTTTCGGGAAAGCTCTGATGACAATTAGATAGAGCAAACAAAGGGCAATATAATGCAATTTTGCGGTATCTACAGCTAGCCTTGAAAATTTTTTAGAATTATTTTTCTGATGCTATCAAATTCCATTTTTGGTGATGCCAAAAGCCAGACATCATGAAACGGCGCACAACTAAGGTGTTATTCGATGCAGCTTTTCCTCCTCTTTCCAGTGAATGTATTTTCACTCCACTTTAAGGGATCTTTAGCGATAAATTTTCCATGATTCTTGAATTTGCCTCAGAGTGCACCGTAAAATGCAAAATGTTTTATTTCGAAGCGGTAAACGCTCAGTTGCTTTGTAAAAATAGTGAATAATCGTAATCGATTTTTAAAAGCTTCAAAATCCGATGATTTGTTAATGTTTGAAGCGTTTCTGTATTTTGGAACTTCGCAAAAGTGAAGACTTTTGGAAAAATTATCTTAAGAAATACTGAAAAGCCAGCTGGATAAGCCTAAAAATTGCATTAAATTGCCCTTTTTTTTACTCTATCTAAGCGCTACCAAAGGTCTTCCAAAAGTTGAAAATGAAGATTGTAAAAAATTGCCAAACTTGGACGTAGTAAAAACCAGGTTCGAAATTTCGGCGTTTATCTCAGTGAGCAAAAGAGTAATCCGCATGGAAGCATGATAATTAGAAAGAGGAGGAAAAGCTGCGTCGGGTAGTGCTTAGAGCGTTTCTCTATATTCGTTCCACGTGTTTTTATGATAGGTTGAAAAAACGGACAAAACTTTCGGGACAAACCTAATATAATAAAAAAAAACAGGTTTGCCTACTTGCTTACATCGCAATATTAGCTTGGCCATAAGTCTTGCAACAAAAATATATAAAAGTCGTCGCAACAAACTTCTGAAACTTTTGCAAATCATACTGTCTATTTTCATGCGTCATTTAACAAAGTTACATTATGTACAGTAGAGATTCTATTAGGTATAGGTATAAAATCGAGATGTCGACGAAAAATCCCGAAACTCTGAATTATTCGTAGATACATACATTCGATCAGCGTGATTTCCTCTTTCACGAAGAGAAAGTCGTCAAACTAAAATCAAACGTAAAACCCATTATTGTTGAATTTTTTTAAACAATTTTAGCCCAGAATTTATAAAAAAAACATTTTGTATTTCCGTTTCTTGCGATTCCTCGATGTCAACATGAATTTTGGTTTAGAATACACTCAACAGGCGCATGTTTTCGCTCTCTGAACAATACTAACAGATAAGTTTGTTAAGAAGAAATACGACCATTCGATTTTGGTGCAAGACTTTCGAATAGCTTGATTTAGGGCAATGCGGCATTAAAATATAAAAGATGCAGAATCATTCTCTTACATCTGCTTGTCTTAGCTGAAAATTAGGTTAATACGCGAGCAATATAATTTAAAAAGTGAATAAGTTGTAAGCATACATACCCTTGATTAAAGACAAGCAGCGAGTAAGAATAGGAAGGATCTTTCGATAAGGACAATTATTGGGTGAAAACGGAAACTCGATAAATTCTCACCCAACCCCAATGCACAAGACACAAAGTTTGTTCTCTTTTAACTTCATGCGACTGATCACATGAAAAAATACAAATTCAACTCGTGATTTTTTTTGTCAACAAGCCTATGAGGTTAGTATCAGACATCGACTGAAAACAGCCCACAATTATGAGCCCCCCCCCCCCCCTCCCCACTCTCACCAGTAGAATAGATTTTGTAGGCGATAACACTCCCAGTAAACATCACAGCGTACCAGACAGCACCATGCAGCTTTGCGAACAAGTTCAATTTAATTCTGAATTATTATTAATGGCCAACACGAAGCGAAGCGCATGTCAATCTCAATGCATAATGCGGGGGACCCGGGTTGCACGCAACAAAATGCACACTCCCCCCCCCCCCCCCTCCCCGCACTTCCAGGAGAGAAAGCAGAGCCGGGGGTGTGGCTAACGGTGCACTCGGGATGAATGAATGAACGGCAAGCGATAAACAGTCTCTTATAAACATGTGGCAAGGTCAGCGAGCAATAAAAAATGCTGAAAAAAAAGTTTATTGGAGAGGCTAGAAAAAACTTTATTGAGTTGAATGGTTGAAAAAAGATAAACAAACGAATGGCTATAGTTTTACTGCGTGGTTTGAATTAGACAGACGAATGAAGAGGAAATATTAGGTTGGAAACTAAGTTTTGCAACTGGTCTCATAACTTCCTTCTCACTCAACACGGCGCACTCAAATTTTGCTACTGCATTGGTTATTACGTAAGCTACAAGCGCAGCTGCTGTCCTACCAAATTCTGACGTCGCAGTGAGGGTTACGGTAGGTGCATGGTATGAAGGGGAAAAATTCAAAGTTTGACGGATTTAGCTGAAACTTGGCATAGGGGTGTTATCCGACATGCTGGTCAAGAAAACGATAGTGAAATTGCGTGATAAGGGCTATTTTGTAGGATTACTGTAGGTGTACGATATGGGGTCTCACCCTAAACAAGGAAAAAGGCGTTGATTCAACAAATGAATGTGATATTCACTTTGGCAGGTCGAATAACCTTACTATGTAAAGTCTCGGCGGAATTTGAGCTTCGGACTCTTTAGTCATTGACGGTCGTCCCCAGCAGCTCTTGCGTACATCGACTCGTTCGACTTTATGAGGACGCCAAATCTCGACATGCCCCTAAATTTTGTTACTTTCTTACTAGGCCAAAGGAGTCAACCTCCAGCAATAATTTGTAGACGAATCCGGATTACTGCGCATGGTCAGGCTGCCAAAGGCTTCATTTTAGCTTAGAACCCCAAAAATTCTCAAATTTCACTAGTTCTCGGAAAACGCCTGAAACTCTTCTATTTCGTGTTCAAAATTTAAACCATTTGTGCTCGCTTGTAGCTCACATTGCCTTCTACATAATGCCAAAGTTTGAGTGCGCCATTTCCAAAGAGAGTGAAGTTATAAAACCAGTTGCAAAACTTAGTTTCCAGCCTAATATCAAAGCGTTTACGGCAAAAAACCCATTCACCATTGTAAAAAAAATACACTGGAGTAAACAAAGCATGTAGGAGATTTTATGTAAATAAAGATAAAGTAAATTGGATTAAATTGTTTCGAAAACAAAATTCTTCCAAGACAGATTATACGAACTCAACCCGAAAAAAAAGCGAAGCAGGAAGTTTCCTATACCAGTCTCCCGTGGTAAAAACTTGTAGAATAAAAAACTTCTAAGTAAAATTTAGACATTCAGCTTGTCCTGAACGCTAATAGCTAATAGGGGAATATGAATTTTGTGTGCTGCTAAGAATTTTACCATAAAAAGCAACAAATGAACGTTCCTTGCTTGACGAACGTAATACAGCCTAATGAAGATCGTAAAGTCAACCAGATGGAGGTTTTATTGGAACAAAGACCAAAAGATCCTCGAACGAAAAAAAAAACTTCCCAGCAGTACGATCTCTTAGCATTTCGACACAACTGTAGTAGGTAGAGTCAATTGAATGCAGTCTTTGCCCTTGTCGAGGAATTTGAGTAGCGGTCACGAGAAGGAAACCACTCAACAACCTGTTATAACTACACTCACCAGAGCGATAAAGTCGGAGTAAATTAAAAAGAAATAGAAGGTCAGAATGCAGCAATGGAAGTTTGAAGCGAAAAAAATTGTAAAAAGGAGGTTTCGAGCTGTGTCGATCGTGTATATCAAGCTTTAGTGAAAATGGAATTTCGGGTTTTAGATTTAAGCATAAATTTACTTCCACGAAAAATTATGAAGTAGATACCGAGATAAGATTTTTGCAATTTTTAGAACTGTATATCAATTTACGCCCCAAACAAATAATCTATGGATTTATGCTGATTTTACTGTAACCTCAGCGAAACAAAATTCCTTGAACATTTCTCATACGAAGCTTCTTCCACGATTTATGTTCGAGAACATTTTAGAAGTGTGATGTCCAAAAACCTCTAAAGGCATTCAAATACTTTGACACCTTTCTGTCCTAAGCTTCGAAAATGATCTTTTTTTTCAAATCATCATTTTTTCATTTCAGAACATTTGTGACAGAGCACATATCCCCCTCAAAATTCGGTCCTTTACTCATTTAGGACTAATAATCATATCGCTTGTAGTCATCAGATCGATACTGAGTTATCAAACAAAGTTCT